GAGAGATGGCTCAGCGGTTAAGAACACTGGCTGCTCTCTACCAGAGGACCTGAGTTCAGTTCCCAGCAACCACATGGTGGCTCACAACCACCTATAATGAGATCTGGTGCCCTCTTCTGGCCTGCAGGGACACATGCCGACAGAACACTGTATACATAATTGAAAAAAAGAATGTGGGGATGCAGAGGCCCAGGGGCAGATGGAGGGACAGACATGGGGACTAGGGCAGACAGCAGCCCAAGCACGGCGGCTCCCCAGCTCCAGCCCCCTTCTGGCCCACCAGCCAGCTCTTTGTCCTGGAGTTGTGCCCCTCTCCTCCTCCTCCTCTCCTTTCTCCTCTCCATGGTTTGCTCTCCTGTCTCTCTTACCAACAAGCCCTCTGGGCCCTGGTCCATTCTGTGGATGTCTCTCATCTCTCGTCTCCTGCATCTGCTTTGGTGGCTTCTGTCTCCAGAGAGGCGCTGGGCCGCTAACTGTGGTCAGAGCCCTCAGGTAAACCCTCCCACACAGGGGCAGCCCGGCAAGCTTGGGAGGGCTTTCCCACAGCTGGGTATGGCTTCCTTTTCTCCACGTGGCTGACTGTAAGGGCTAAGGGCTGGGGCTGAGGGAGTGGCCAAGGAGACATGGGGCAGTGGGGGCTTCAGAACACTCCCAAACAGCCAGGACTGTGAGGGACATCAGGACTACCTCTACAAATGACTAGATCCAGAACGGAAGGAAGAGGCTTAGAGGGCTCTAAGGAGATCTCTAGGGAGATCAGTCTCTTCAGGCTACAGAAGCGTGTGGGAACAAGCAGGCACTGATGAAGCCTTTCTCCCACCCCCAGAGCAGCCTCTCTGTGCCAAGGAGGCCACACTGCAGCCTCTACTACAAGACATTCTCCATGCTCTGCCAGCTTTAATTCAGACAGCAAGCACTCCCGGTGACCCAGCCGAGACCACACAAGTCCCACTGTACTGTGGCAGGACAAAGATTTTCATGACTGACTCCATGGTAAAGTGGCTGGGGGACGAGACTACAGGCGCCAACTGCAAGTGTAGACCGTCCTCAGGGTAGGGGGAAGAGGGCCCAGGACCTCAGTGGATTCCTCTTCTCTCAGCTAGAGCTTCTGGAATGTGGGCGTGCCCAGATGCTGGAGCAGTGTGCCCGCTGCATCCAGTGTGGCTGGAGGCGACACCGTCTCCAAAAGCAGGAGAAACAGAGGCGGGCTGTGGTGCTCATTCAGGCAGGTAGGTGGGACCCAGCCACCTATTGGTGAGGCTGATAACATATGATGGGTGTGACTAACACAGTCCTGACATTTTGAAAATGAAAATAATTTGTCTTTTTTCAGTGCCATGAATTAAACCCAGGGCTTCACTCATGCTAGGCAAGTGCTATACCATGGAGTTACATGCCCACACAAGCCAAAATACATTTATAAGGCACAGATAATCCAGATCTTTCTTGTTCCTTGGGGCACTGTTGAGGACTGAGTCTGAGATCAGTGGTAGCCTGGGTCCTTGCCAGTTAAGAGCTCCCAGGTGCCCTTCAATGTGGGTATCTACAAGATTGTGGGCAATATAATGTGTGTGTGTGTGTGTGTACGCACACGTTCATGTGACTATATATGTGTACCGTGTGGGTGGGTGCCCTTGGAGGCCAGAAGGGCATTAAATCTAGAACTAGAGTCAAAAGGTTGTGAAAAGCAGGGCAGTGGTGGCGCACGCCTTTAATCCCAGCACTCGGGAGGCAGAGGCAGGCGGATCTCTGTGAGTTCGAGGCCAGCCTGGGCTACAGAGTAAGTTCCAGGACAGGCTCCAAAGTTACAGAGAGAAACCTTGTCTGGGGGGGGGGGGGGGGGGGGAAGAGGCTGTGAATCACCATGTGAGTGCTGGTAACCAAATCTGGGTGACCTGCAAGAGCATTTTAACCACTGAGCAATCTTTCTAGGAGTGACTTTTGGGGGGGGGGGGCGGTTAACAAGACAGGGTTTCTCTGTGTAGTTTTGGTGCCTGTCCTGGAACTCGCTCTGTAGACCAGGCTGGCCTCGAACTAAGAGAGATCCACCTGCCTTTGCCTCCTGAGTGCTAGAATTAAAGGTGTGTGCCACCACTGCCAGGCTCAGGAGTGACTCTTAAGCCCCATTTTGCCTTATGTATTGACATAGTGCATCACTGGAAAAACAGATTTCACATTTCCACGTCAACCCCGGTATTGGCCACATGACTAACAGCTCTAACACTCGTCGTGCTGTCTCTGCTGTTTCCTTAGCTGTTCGGTCCTGGCTAACCCGGAAACACATCAGAAGGCTACACACGGCGGCCACGGTCATCAAGCGCGCGTGGCATAGGTGGAGAGTGAGTATGACCAGAGGCCAGGGTGGGCAGCACTGGAGACTGGGCTCCAGACAGGCCTGACGGACGTCTCTGGCACTGCCGGGTGGCGGCATGCTGGCAGGCCATGCAGCCTCTAAGCCGTGTGTCCCCCTGTATGGTGAGATGGACAGAGGCAGCTCCAGTCCAGGGCGGCTGTGGAAGTAGTGTGGAATGAGCGACTCTAGGGACAAACTGCCAACAGAATTGCACTTTCTTCACGCTCTGCCACGTGGAGCTGTTTAGTCAGGGCATCGCAGCCACGGCCCTTCAGTTTACCTGTCAAGCTGATGTTTCCAGAAAGAGAGCTGCAAAGAGCTAGTGAGATGGCTCAGCAGGCGGAGGTGTCTGAGCCCGAGGACCCTTGTGGTAGGAACAAACTCTCAAAATCGTCTTCTGACCTCCACAAGCATACCCTGGCATGCTCATGCCCACACACATGCATAAAACATGCATACGCACAAAAATAAATGACTTATTTGGTTTTTCAAGGCATGGTTTCTCTGTGTAGCCCTAGCTATCCTGGAACTTGATTTACAGACCAGCCTGGCCTTGAACTCACAGAGATCCACCTGCCTCTACCTCCCTATTGCTGGGATTAAAAGTGTGCACCACCACCGCCTAGCTATTTTATTTTTTTAAAGAGGGCTAAATCTTTTTTTTTTTTTTTTTTTTTGGTTTTTCGAGACAGGGTTTCTCTGTGTAGCTTTGTGCCTTTTCCTGGAACTCACTTGGTAGCCCAGGCTGGCCTCGAACTCACAGAGATCCGCCTGGCTCTGCCTCCCGAGTGCTGGGATTAAAGGCGTGCGCCACCACCACCCGGCGAGGGCTAAATCTTGACCACCCAAGATCAATCTCAGGATGTGTAAGTTGTCCTGACTTCAAAATGTCCACGATAGCATACCTCCATGTAGAATAAATGAATGCAAAAGAAAATTCTTTTAGAAAGAAGGCTGGACAAACCTAAAGCTATAAAAGAATGTTTTCTCTTTAAGATCAGAATGGCCTGTCTTGCCTCTAAAGAACTGGATGGTATGGAGGAGAAACCCATGCCTCGAGCTCCCAGCTCCCTGAGCCCGTCGCTGCCCGCAGCACATACTAAACTACTGGGGGCAGTAATCCACCTCTGGCCCCTGGGACTGGTGCTAGCCAACTCAGCCGTGGGTGTGCGAGGCTTTCAGAGGAAACTGGTGGCCCATGCCTGCCTCCGGCTTCCCACGGGTAGCCCTAGCAACAAGTTCCAGACACCACAACAAGATCAGGCTGGTATTACGTCCATCAGAGCACTGCCTCGGGTATGTTCTCGTTCTGTGATACCGTTGTCGTCCTTCCCACAGCTCCAGGTTGTTCACTGAGAACGGCAGTGAACAAAGCTTGCCCGTCTCTGGGGGGTGGGGAAGCAGCACAAAGCCCTAACCTGCTGAGTAAGCCAAAATCTACAGTGTGGATTTCTGCCATTGTTTCACCTAAAACCGGGATCTTCAGAGCCCTTCATAACTGCTTGTAAGCATTTAGCCTGAGTGTTTGGCTCTTCCTCAGTTAGGCATGTACCTCAGCCCTTTCTCCTCTATCAGATGGGTAAGGAATTAAAGAGTGGCATAGTTAACTGTTGGACATTAGTCCCGCTTCTAAGAAATGAGTGTGGCCATAATTTGCCACCTCAGATGACACTGCATTTGGCAGATTCCTCAAATTCTATCACTTGGTTAATGTATGGCAGGTCCTGTGTGTTATTTATGCCACCTGTCTCACTGGAAAGCAGACCCCACAGCCTGGTCTCAGCTCAGCCCCTGCCCTGGATAACCTTGGTGATGGTACATGATCTCAGAACCTCCATTGTTCTCCTCTGTAAGACTGGGTTAATACCCAGCCTGGTACAAGGGACCAGAGGACAGAAATGGAGTCAACAAGATGCTACATAATATGTACAAAATCTCCCTGAAATTGACAAGGGGTAAAGAGAACTGTTCTGATCTTCCTTCCTACGGTTTCCTGTCACGCTGAGTGGATGTGACATTTTACTCCTGATTTCTCTCTTTGGGGTGTCTTTGGGTCCTGCCACTCACAGTGCATCTCTTTCTCCCTAGGGCTCGATAAAGTTTCACTGCAGGAAGTCTCCACTTCAGTACGCTGACATCTGCCCTGAACCTTCAGACTCTAGTGTTACTGGTTTTAATCAGATTCTGCTAGAAAGACACAGGCCAGTCCAAGTGTGACCCTTCTGCCCCCACCTGCCTACATGATCTTTAGTGCCTTTGTTCCATGAGGCCTTTTCCTGCCAGCTGCCTTGCCAAAGACATCTGATCAACTGCCAAGCTATTCCCACAGCGACTCCAGCTGCACATGCAAGCAGCAGTTCTTGTCTGTGAGCCAGGGCTTCTGGTCAGAGTACCTGCCAGCCAGGACTGTGGCCTCAGCACTGGCAGGAACTGGGGGTGCTAGCTACCAAGCCAGGATTAGGGCCACCACGTCCCAGCTTACTGTCTTCGGGTTCAGCAGATGTGACTGTCAGTCCAGAATGTTGTCCCTACAGCAGGAGAGATACTGGGTCATCCACAAGCACTTTAAAAGGGCCAAATCACCCTGAAATTGGCTCTAGAATTTTGGCTGGGGAAAAACTTACATATATAGTTCATCAAGGAACAATACTATTTAATAAATTGATTTATTTAATGTTACCAAGAACAATGAGCAATGCAATGTACAACAGAATCACATCTTAAATTTATTCAGTAACACTATCAGTTTTTAATTCAAATGGATAAACTTGGTATTTAAGATTTACATCTGAACTGTACCAGAAATAAATTTAAAACCACCACGTAAATATAAATAGCCTTTTCCCTTTATTTTTAATGTATGTGTGAGTTTTGCCTGCCTGTATGGCTGTGTACCACATGCTTACAGTACTTTCAAAGGCCAGAAGAAGGGGGTCAGATCCTCTGGAACTGTAACTACAACTGTTCGCAGTCATGTGGGTGCTGGAGATTGGTCCTCTGGAAGAGCTGAGCCATCACTCCAGGGCTACAAGTTTCCTCTTCATAAAGGCTCTGCACCTGGAGTATCCCCAACTTGTCTGAAGCAAGCCGTGTGATGAAGACCTACGTGTCCTACAGCAGCAGCCTTGGAGACAACCTCCTCCTAGGAGGAGCAGTGGGCAGCTTGAGCATAGAGCACGTTCAGTTTTAAGAATCCCTGTTGTGGGATGGCTCCACGATTCCTAAACAGCAGTCTGCAAACTCCACAAACAAGGGCTCCTGCATGCAGGCTTTCATCAGCTGTGCCTTGTCGTCACCCTGGTCCAGGTTAACCATCAGCTGTCTCAGGTGTGGGTTGAGCAGTAAGCTTCTTAAAGTTGCAGATTCACCTTAAAAATCAATGCCAGCTTTTAAGTTCAAGGGGAACCCAGGGCAGAGGCTGAAAGCTAAGTGTTTCCAGTGTGATCAACTATGAAGGGCTTGTATCTCCTCAACCATTATGCTGTTACCCCCATGTCCTCAGGCTGTACAACCAACCACACATCTAAACCACTCAACAAATGCCTTTAATCCCAGCACTTAGGAGACAGAAGCAGACAGATGTCTTTGAGTTCAAGATCAGCCTGGTCTACAGGGCGAGTTCTAGGACAACCAGGGCCACACAGAAACCTTGTCTCAAAAAACAAAAACAAACCAAATTTTAACATCTGTACCAAATGTGAACTTTTTTCCTCATCATAACTACACATTGTTTGCATCAAATTAGGTTAGATGATTTAAAGTGCATCAGTTATATGTATTCCACCATTTTATAAAAGGGACTTGACCATCGTTGAGAAACACATCCTAGAACCAAGCTGCCTTGAACATCAGATGACTACTCACAAATGAACTTTCAGAATACATGTGAACAAAGATCTGAGCTGGAAAGATGACTCAGCAGTTAAGAGTGCTTGATACGCAAAGCATGAGACCAGTGTTCCTGCTCAGCACCCACTTAAAGGCCAAGCATGGTCCTAGGCACACCTGTGACCCAACACTGAGCAAGACAGACAGGCACATCACAGATTTGTGAGCTGCCAGCCTAGCCAAGGTGTGAGTGAGCCCTCAATGAGGGACTCCACCTCAAAGGAATAAGGTAGAGAATGATGGGGACTCAATGCCTCCCTCCTCTAGCCTGTGTGCACATATACACACAAGTGAGATTAGCACCAATAACAGAAGTTTTACTACAAGCACCAAAGGAGCGGTGCTGCAAAAATGTGCATGACTAAGCTAGAGAGACGGCTCAGTGGTTAAGAACACACACTGCTCTTAAAAGGACCCAAGTTCACTGGGTGGTGGTGGTAAACACCTTTAATACCAGCACTCGGGAGGCAGAGGCAGGAGGATGTCTGTGAGTTCCAGGAGAAACCAATGGGGGGGGGAAATGGGGGGGACGACCCAAGTTTATTCCCAGCACCCAATCAGGCAGCTGACAACCACCTGTACTCCAGCTCCTGGAGGATGTGACGACTCTGCTTCTGTGGCACATACCCACAGACACATGCACAGAATTCAAATGTGGTGAGCACTAGCCTCTCCCTGGTGATTACCCAGTCTGTGACTAGACTGTAAAGTGAGCATGGAAGACAGGTAACAGTGTCTGCCCCACAGGCTGCTGTAAGAGGCACAAATCACTACTGTCAAGTGTGACTAGAGCAGTAAAATTTACTAGTAAGACCAAGGCACTACGGGAAGGAAGCTAGAACAGTGCCTAATCTGGGCCTGAAGGTGGAGAAAGGCTTAGGTAAGCAAAGAAGATGAGCTATATTTTTAAGGCAAAATTATGCCAACCTGCAAAATCTGTAGGATTCCAATAGAACACCTGGCATATGCAAGATGGGAGATTTGCTGACAGAATCCTATGGCTGGACAGGAAAGACCCTGCACACCATATTACATAGTAATCTTACAAACAAGCAAGTAGGGGCTGGAGCGATGGCTCAGCAGTTAAGAGCACTGGCTGCTCTTCTGGAGGTCCTGAGTTCAACTCCCAACAGCCACATGGTGGCTCACAACCATCTGTAATGGGATCTATTGCCCACTTCTGGCCTGCAGGCACACAAGCACAATAGAGCACTCATATACAAAAAAAAAAAAAAAAAAAAAAAAAAGCCGGGCGGTGGTGGTGCACGCCTTTAATCCCAGCACTCGGGAGGCAGAGCCAGGCAGATCTCTGTGAGTTCGAGGCCAGCCTGGGCTACCAAGCGAGTCCCAGGAAAGGCGCAAAGCTACACAGAGAAACCCTGTCTCGAAAAACGAAGAAAAAAAAAAAAAAAAAAAAAAAAACCTGCGATTACACCAGACCCACCAGGAGAAAAAACAAGCAAGCAACCTTAGAAACAAAAGAGGCAGAGGCAGGCAGATCTGAGTTTGAGGTCAGCTCGGACTACATTCAAATTCCAAGCCAGCCAGAACTACATACATGATGAGATGTCTCAAATCCCATTTTATGTACACATGGAGGTCCACACCGGGTGTCTTCCTCGATTGCAATTGTTCTCCACTCCCCCCCCCCCCCCACAAAGCCCCTGAGACAGGCTCTCTCACTATGTAGCTGTGGCTGGGAGTGCTGGGATTAAAGTTCACCCCACCACACTCGGCTTCCACCTTATTTTCTTCATGCAGGGTCCTTTACCAATTCCGACAGATCAGCTCAGCTGGCCAACAAGACACTGGGATCCTCCTGCCTCTACCGCCCTAGTGCTAGGGTTACAGCGCTCAGCTTGTTGCCTTGTTTTAAATAAGCAGAGATGCTGGAGATGAAAGTCAGGTCATAAGAACTCAATTAAGCCATCTCTCCAGCCCTAAAAAAAAAAAAAAAAAAAAAAAAAAATTAAAAAAAAAAAATCCCATCTTAAAAAAAGAGCTGGCGGGCTAGAGAGATGGCTCAGAGGTTAAGAGCACTGGCTGTTCTTCCAGAGGTCCTGAGTTCAATTCCCAGCAACCCCACATGGTGGCTCACAACCATCCGTAATGAAATCTTGTGCCCTCTTCTGGCCTGCAGGTGTACATGCAGACAGAACACTGTATATATAATAAATAAATAAATCTTTTAAAAAAAAAAAGCTGTCAAAATGGTTCAGCAGGTAAAGATGCTTACCCACCAGGCCTGATGACCTGAGTTCCACACTAGTGACGAGACTGTCCTCTGACTTCTATGTGTGCCTGCAGAGGAGGGGTAGGTAGAGACGGCTCAGGGGTGACATGCACTTGCTACTCTTGTGGAGGACCTGTGTTCAGTTCCCACACCCGTGTTGAGTGGCTCACAACCACCTACAACTACAGCTCCGGGACCCCACGCCCTCTCCTGGCCTCCACCAGCCCCTGTACTAAGGTGCACAGAGATATACACAATTTACAAGTAAATCTTTCAAGATAAAAAGGGGCAAGTGAGCCGGGCGGTGGTGGCGCACGCCTTTAATCCCAGCACTCGGGAGGCAGAGGCAGGCGGATCTCTGTAAATTCGAGGCCAGCCTGGTCTACAGTGCGAGTTCCAGGAAAGGCGCAAAGCTACACAGAGAAACCCTGTCTCGAAAAAACCAAAAAAAAAAAAAAAGGGGGCAAGTGAGGTGGCTCTGCAGGTAGAAGGACCTGCTGTGCAGGCCTGGTGGCCTCAGTGTGATCCCCAGGACCCAGAGTCAAAGGAGAGAAAGACCCCTGGAAAGCTGTCCTTGGAACCGCACTCAAGCCCACACTCCCACACATCATACACAACAGTATAGCAATTCTTCTGAGTACGGAAATACTGCATCAGGAGGCAGAGACAGGAGGGCAGCATCAAGTCTGAGGCCAGCATGGTTTACAGTGAGTGCTAGGCCAGCCAGGACTATACAGTAAGATTCTGTCCAGAAAAAAAAGAAAGAAAGAAGAAAACACAGTGCTGAATGTATCACCCTGAAGCAGAGCACTTGCCTCAAGATTCCTGAGGTATCTCAGCCCCCTGTCAATACAGCTCAGAGACCCACGCACATCCTATACAAAGGAAATGGTATTGGAACACTCCAAGAATGAGTCGTGCAGAGGGAATTCTGAGTACTTGTGAGAAAATGCCAAAAAACGAGAGTTTTGTGACCTGTGTTTCTTCAGAAACAGGAAATTGTTCTTGGAATGTGCTTTCATGCCCCTCCCCGGTGGGGCACATAGGAGTTTACTCAGATAACTCACTACAACCGACTAGCGCCTGATTTCTTTATATGCCTCTATGGAAAAACATGCTTCTGCCTCATGCAGCTTGTCTTTGCGATTGTACACTTTATCCAGGTGATTTTGTGTGTGTGTGTGTGGTTTTTCGAGACAGAGTTTCTCTGTGCAGTTTTGGTGCCTGTCCTGGATCTCACTCTGTAGACCAGGTTGGCCTCGAACTCACAGAGATCCACCTGGCTCTGCCTCCCGAGTGCTGGGATTAAAGGCGTGCGCCACCGCCGCCCGGCCAGGTGATTATTCTTAACACTCAGGGTATAAACTGTCTAAAGTTATGAATGAAGTTGGCTGTTGCACGAGACTTTGGTCCGCCTCATTTTTTAGGCTCCATCCTCCCAGGTTCCACTGCCTTTACAGCAGTAAACAAAACAGTTAACAAAAAACAAGCCCAGCCAAGACTTACCTAAGTTCTTTAAACTCTGCAGAGACACTCTGTCTTCTTCCTCATCACTGTTGAGAAAATCAGCTACAGACTCATCATCATCTGAGGAGTGCAGAGCATAACCAACTGGTCAGGTCTCAGAAAGCCAGGACAGCCATGTTGACAACGTGTGTGCACGTGTGTGATAGTGAGGGGCACACCAGTAGTCACAGTCAAATAAAATGAACAGCCTGCTTCTCTGATTTCACAACTAAACACCCCCTCTTTCAGGGCAGTGGTGGCGCACGCCTTTAATCCCAGCACTCGGGAGGCAGAGCCAGGTGGATCTCTGTGAGTTTGAGGCCAGCCTGGTCTACAGAGTGAGATCCAGGACAGGCACCAAAACTACACAGAGAAACTCTGTCTCGAAAAAACCAAAAACATATTAATTAATTAATTAATTAATTAATTAATTAATTAATTAATTAAATATTAAGAAAAACCCGCAAACGCCGCCCCATCTTGCAGAACAGGGAAGGTTAGCAGAATGGCTCCTCAAGTGTATGATGGTTCATGTTTCCTGCGGTCTACAGGCTAGAAGTCTGGTTTTGCACGGTTTTTTTTAAATTTGTTTATCATACAATAATATTATTATTCATATTTTTAATTTATTATGTATATAGTGTTCTGCCTGCATGTATGCCTGCACGCCAGAAGAGGGCACCAGATCTCATTATAGATGGTTGTGAGCCACCATGTGGTTGCTGGGAATTGAACTCAGGACCTCAGGAAGAGCAAACAGTATGTTTAACCTCTGAGCCATCTCTCCAGCCCAGTTTTGTGGGGTGGGTTTTTTTTGTTTTTTTCGAGACAGGTGCAGTTTTGGTGCCTGTCCTGGACCTCACTCTGTAGACCAGGCTGGCCTCAAACTCACAGAGATCTGCCTGTCTCCGCCTCCAAAGTGCTGGGATTAAAGGTGTGTGCCACCACTGCCACCGGGCCAGTTTTGTAGTTCTTAACACCCTACCTGCCCTCTGTCATGACTCCAGGCCTGTGATGGACCAGTGAATTAGACCCCGTACAACCCTGCCAAACACGATCCCCGTGTAGATATGCCCAGGCCCATACTAGAAGTTTCTCCAAGGACAAAAGGCCCATCCCCTTTCTGTGACCTCTTTGTGATACAAGAGGAGCTGCTTGCAGCCATGATACTCAGGAGGCACTGTGGATAGATGAATACATGGATGCATGAAACCTGAGTGGAATGACAGTCCATTACTGCTCTAAACTCTAAGACTCCAGCAGTTCAAAGGAGGCCTCCCACGTGCGCCTACCAGGGCTCAACACAAACCCCAGGCCCCTGCCCCTTCCTGGAACCATGCTTCAGGATGCTCTCAGCACCACCGGTGACAACCTGTGACCCACCCTGACACTAGAGCTGCCGCTCCAAGCCCATCCTTCTGCACCCTGCCCATCCCCCTCTCTCCTCTCCTTTCCAAGTACTATCTCTGAAATCCCTCGACCGCCTCACCTTTGTTTTCCTCAGGCTCTGTATTGACAGGAGCCACTGTTCTTCTGTTCTCAACAGGACGGACTTCCGGGTTGCACTGCTCTGAGAGAGACACAAATTTCAGGCATACACAAACACAACCTCTCCGTACCAGCAGCAAGGCTGCAGCTCCCCATCATGCCAGGGAGAGACATGTGTACGAGGTAGAGATGGAGAGGGAGGACAGGTCACATGGAGCGATGGGCCAAAGAAAACCATGAGTAATTCTGAGTTGGGCAGAAGGGCTGTGGAAGCTGACTGCGCTCAGGTGGCCGTGTGCCCCCACCCTAATTTCACAGGACTTTCCCCAGGATTAATGGAGGCAGTGACTTCCACAGCATCACATTTTCTCGGCAGTTTCATGCATGCTACCATGTGCAACGAGGAATAGAGATGACTCCCACATCGGAGGAGTTTAGTCATGGAAGACACTACAGAGATGGATAACGTAAGAAAGGTCTGGCCTGAGTCCACCTGAGGAAGCCCAGAGACTTAAAGGAGAAAGCTTTGGCAGGCAGGGAAGGAGCATTTTTGGCAGGGAGAGGTCTGTGCCTGGGGTGGGGGAAATAGAGTAACAAAGACAGAGAGAATACGCTACATGGGCACCAGTGCCTGTGGAGGCCAGAGGGAGTCAGGGCCCCTGAGGTGGAGTGACAGGTGTTTGGGAACCCCGAACATGTGTGCTGTGGGCCAAACTCAGGTCGTCTGGAAGAGTGCCAAGCACACTTAACTGTTCAACCATCCCTCCAGTCCTAGAACTTTTTTTTATTGCAAACAAAATAGACCAAAAAATAAAAATTAAAAAAAAGTTAAGAGTTCCAGGACAGCCAGGGTTACACAGAGATACCTGTCTTGAAAAACAAAACATTGTTAAATTCTTGTTAGAAATAATCGAGGCCACTGGGGCAGAAAAAGCACACACATGCTGCCAACGAGACCCAGAGCCTATGCATGCTAGGCAAATGCTACTGATGACCAAAATTTCCAGCTGATTTTCTTTTTTGAGGGGAAAGGGGGTTGTGGGGTTTTTTTGGTTTTTATTATCTTTTTCAAGACAAGATCTCTCTGTGTAGTCCTGGCTCTCCTGGAACCAGGCTGTCCTCGAACTCGAGATCCAACTGCCTCTGCTTCCTGAACGCTGATATTAAAAACAGAAAAATCTAAACCATGTGGGATGACACACCTGTAAACCCAGCACTAGAGGGATATACGGCAGGAAGACTGAGAATTAAGTAAATCCAGGGCCAGCCTGGAATACGTAAGACCCTATTACCAAAAAAGTGGAGGGGGGGAGTGAGGGGTTCACACAAATAAAAAGAAGTAACTAAAAAGCCATAATTAAACTTTCTAGTCACATAGCATAATGGCAATCTTAAAGATACATACTTAAGGACCTATTAAGCACACATAATCAATGTATTTGTGGATGTATACGCACAAGTAAACACTTTTACTGTGCACAAAGTGTGCTCACATAACTTACCAGGTGTCAGTCTTTCTCAACAGTCTCAATATGAAGCCAAACTGGCCTGAAACTTGTAGGGATCCTCCTGCCTCAGCCTCCCCCATGCTGGAGTTACAAGTCTGTACCATCACTCCCAAATGACCCCCACCCCCCAACCTCATTTAAAGGTTTTGTTTTTATTTGTATATACAGCAGTGCGCAGCTGCCGTTGAGGCCAGACAGGAGCATCAGATACCCTGGTAATGGACCTACAGGTTGCCTAAATAGTAGGTGGGTGCTAGGAACCAAACTCAGATCTAGAAAAGCAACAAGAGGCTCTTAATGGCTGAGCCATTTCTCCATCTCCAGGTTTTTTCTCAATAGGTCAGTAACTTGTCGTAGGCAGACCTGGTGGCACAGGTCTGTACTCCTATAATCCTATCATTTGGGGTAGAGAAAGCAAGATCATGGTAAGTTTGAGGGCAGCCTGGACAATATAAAAAAAGAACCTGTCCCAAAATACCACACACAGAAAAAGAAAACTTCTCTTTGTAAACAAAAAACAACCGTTATTGGAAAGACAGAAACGCTGCTGGTTAATCCACCTCGGCCAGGCAGCTTCTGCAATAGCGAAGAGCTACAATAGACTGCTAAGACAGAAGAAAGAAAAAAAAATAAAAACATCTAGGGCTGGCTTTTTCCAGCAAAGCAGTTGACTTGCTTTGGTTTGAGACAGGATCTCAGTCTGTTGCCCAGGCTGGCCTTGACCTCATGGGAATCCTCCTGCTTCGGGCTCCTGTGTGCTGGGATTCCGGGGCATGGGGCCCTGTCGAGTGCAAGGAAGGGCCAAGGGCTGCGACCGCGGTCCAGAGTCTTACCTTTGTGCTTCTGGAAACAAGTGACCGAGCAGCTGTAACAAGAAAGACAGGCGCCGTCAGCCCTGGCGGCCGCAACACGCCCCTCTGGCCGGCAGCCCCCGGCCGCAGTACGAGCCTCCCGCCCGCAGCCCGGGCCTCCCTCCCGGCCCGGTGCTCGCGCTCCCCAACCCCCACGAGCCCCGGCTTACTAGGGCACGCGGCAAACCGGGCAGCGGTATTTCGGCTTCTCCAAACAGATGACGCAGACCACGGTTTTAGAGTTCAGCGACGCCATGGCTTCCCAGAAGACCCCACGCTGCCCGGCTCTCCCTTCTACCCAAGCAAGGACCAATCACAGCGCTCCGCACTTCCTGGCAGGCAAAAGCAGTGGCTTGATCCTGTTCGCTGTTCCAGGCCTCATAAGTAGAGAGCCGATACATTCGATACCCATTTAGGCAAGTGCCTCCGAGTTTTCTCTGATTAGGTCAAGCCATGGAACTCACGAACCTTCTGACTCTTCATCCCTAGCGCTGCCATCACAAGTGTGCACCGCCACGCCCAGTCAAAGACATTCTTTTTAAATTGTATGCTTACGTGTGCGCCTGTGTCAGTCAGTGCTATTGCCCTGAGAGGCCAGAAAAGGCAGTCAGATCCCCTGGAGCTAGAGGCAGGCAGTTTTGAACCACCTACTGTGCTGGGTGTTGGCAACTGAACTCGGATCCTCTGGAACAGCAAGCAGCAAGTGCTCCTTCTTCCAGCCCAGAAGACATGTCTTGAGGTTGGGCCGCTGGCAAATGTTTATTGAACTTCGGCCGTGATACTGGGGGATGGTTAGAAAATGGTCTCTTCCCCAGGAGCATAAGGCTTGAAGTGAAGACAGAAGAGAGAAAGGACAAAGGATGAGACTCGTTGTTAGGGTCAAGCCCTGTATTTGCATGACTCTGAGAATGAGTGTTCTTTAACTATCGCCCCCTCCCCCCCCACCCCCCCACCCAGTTTCATCTCAATTCACTCCACTACCAGCTGTGGCAGGGTAGACCGACCACAGAGCAGATCAGTGGCCTCTAGGCTAAAGGGATGCCGGCTAATGAGTCAGGATAGATGGGCTATGATGAGTCTTGAAGGCCATTCTAGACTTTAGGTATAGACAGTGTCATGGTTGTTTGTTTTGTTTTTTGAGACAGGGTCCTGGCTGGCCTTGAACTCACAAAGATCTACCAGCCTCTGACTATCAAGTGCTGAAATTAAAGGTGTGTGTCATCACACTCTGCTCAGAGTCCTATTTGTTTAAGAACCTTGCTCCTCCTTGAAGCTCTGAGTTTGGCCCAACCTAACCTCTGCTCCCAGGACCTTAAATCATGCTCCTCCCAAATGCCTTCTCTTTTATGTTGTCTGTTCAGTCTCTAGGGTCCCTTTGTTTGTTCGTTTTGTTTTTTGAGACAGGGTTTCTCTGTGTAACAGCCCTGGCTGTCATGGAACTCACTCTGTAGACCAGACTAGCCTCAAATTCACAGAGATCCACCTACCTCTGCCTCCCAAGTGTTGGGATTAAAGGTGTGCACCACCACTGCCCAGCTTTTAGGGTCCTTTTTAATAATGGTGCCCATGAGCATCTGAGCTTGCTGAGATGTGTTGTTGTTTGTTTTTTGCTCTTTGCTCTTTTGGGGGGCCCACTACCCAGATCCCAGATAAATCACACATGGAGGCTTATTCTTAATTATTAATGCCCAGCCTTAGCTTGGCTTAGTTTCTAGCCAGCTTTTCTTAACTTTAAATAATCCCCTCTACCTTTTACCTCTGGACTTTTCCCATTGTCTTGCTTCTGTAAATCTTACTCTATGGCTTGCTGTGTAACGGGTAGCTGACCCCTGGAGTCCTCCTCCTTCTCTGCCTACTTCTTCACTCCTCCAACTCTCTTCTTGCTCCTCCCAGATTTCTCCTTTTATTTATTCCCTCTGCCTGCCAACCACACCTGTTTCTCTCTCCTGCCTCGCTATTGGCCATTCAGTTCATTAGCCCATCAGGTGTTTTAGACAGACAAAGTAACACAGCTTCACAGAGTTAAACAAATGCAACATAAACAAAAGGAACACACCTTAAAATAATATTCCACAGAGATGATCTGCTACAACATAGCTGATGCCTGGAGTCCTGGCTCATGCTCCCTGAGTATGTGTCTTAGAGGCTTGGTTGCCGCCACTGAGACCTTTCATCAAGTAGAGTGGATGCCCAGGCCTGAGTTCTTCAGCTATTGAGAGTCAAAAGGAAAGGATACATAACAGGATTTGCAATCTGTAGCTGGCAAAAGGGTTGTTTCTATGATATTTGGAAGGACTCTAATCTCCTGGATTTCTGCTACTGACTCAACCAGCACAGGCTGCTAAGTCTTGGGTCCGAAGCTCAAGACAGTCCAGTACAATTCTGTGTCTGCCTCAGCAGGAAGCAGAAAATGAGTGAGAATCCTTTGGTAGCTCTTCTAGACCATGAGAATGCTGTCCAGGCCCAGGTGCCAAAGCGGAAGGGCCCTTGGGCCGTCTTTCTTTGCTTCGATCAGCTGCCTGTTGCTTAGGATTCAATACGCATCCACACTGACCCACTAACCCTTCGCATTACTATTATTCAACATTTGTACCCGCTCTGGTTTGAACCTGAATCTTCCCAGAAGGTACAAATTAATGTGAGACAGCCAGAGAAGGCCAGCAACCCATCCATGACCACATTTGAATCTGTGTCCTGTGTGGCAAGGGTAGAAATTTTCACTGACCACTCCAGGTTTTTACTGTGCGTTGTGTATAAAGGCTGAGGCTGGGAATCTCTCCTAAGCACACTTCCTGTGGAAGAGATGCTGCTCCCTCTATTCTGGAGCTTCGGGGATCACAGTCAGTCTTTCTTCTATGTCCAGGGCAGAAAAGGAAGTGTGATGGGGACCAGGTTGGGGAATACCGAGAAGACGGAACTGTATGACTCCAGACCCATCATCTAGCTGTCCACACTTGAGGTCCCAAAGAGAGCACCCTAGCTCTGTACACACTCCTATCAGACCCATTTCAGATGCCACCTACTCCTCGTCACGAGCCTGAAGCGCAGTGAAAACCCTTGGAAAGAAGCGAGGTAGCAAAGGAGGGTTTTAACCTCTGGCACCCAACGGGCACTGCCCTGGAGGCAGCTCCAGAGACGCTCGTGGTGTTGCGGGCCAGCAACAGGCACCGCCAGGGGGTGCTGCAGGTCGCCTTTGGAACTGGTGTAGCGAGTACTCTTCGAGCCCAGCTCACACCCCACTTTATCCAGCAGATTAAACTGGCAGGATAGAAAAATGCTAGACCCGTGAGGCGATGAAAACAGGGTCTCCTGGGGGAAAAGCAGGACACGCGCCAACCTAGGGCTCCAAATGCTGAAAACTGTCCAAGACCAGTTCCCTTTGTCTCTTAGCTACGAACTCATGTACAACTCCAGGATAGTGGTGGTCCGTCTGGAAGCTGGCCACCTGTTTTAGCCTAATGAAAATTTAGCTGTATTTCGGGGAACATTGGAGTTACCAACTAGAGTAGTGTTTCTCAACTACTACTGTGGGTCAAGACCCATTTGGGGCAAACAACGCTTTCACAGGGGTCGCCTATGACCATCAGAAAACACAGATATTTACATTATGATTCATAACAGTAGCAAAATTACAGTTATGAAGTAGCAACAAAAATAATTTTATGTTTGGAGGTCACCATAACATGAGGAACTGTCTCAAAGGGTCACAGCATTAGGAAAGTTGAGAACCACTGAACTAGAACCTGATCCATTGCCGTGGGCTTTTCTTGGTTGTCCTGATAGGATCAGCAGATTAATCTGTTCTTGGGGGCTGGGGATATAGTTTCATTCGCTAAACATGCAGGAGGTTGTGGGTTCAAGCCTCAGCAATACACAAATCTAACATGCATGCCTGTAATCCCAGAATTGCAGGTGGAGGCAGGAGGATCAGGAATCCAAGGCTACGTCGTAAGTTTGGGATACTGAGACCATCTCAATATATATTCTCCTCACATGCACCACATATGCTCTTCCCAGAGGCCTAAGGTTAATAAAGCTGTGCTTTGCTATATTCTAGCTCCTCTCTGCATTTCTAACATATTCATTCCATCTCAGTACTGAAAACTGGCTACCATTGGTCCTCAGGAGACTATTTATTTCCACATTCTCACCGGTATCCATTTCCATCCTAGGACATAAGAGAAGGCAGGGCCCACGAAATGGCTTGGCAGGTATTAGGTGCCAAGCCTGAAGACCTGAACTCCGTCTTCAAGATCCCAACCTGGTAGGAGAGGTCTGATTCTGGCCAGTTATCCTCAGACTGCTCACATGTGCCTCCCCTCCACACACAACAAGCAAATGGACAAATCTGCTCATGTTAAGATGAAGGAGGATGGCCCTCGAGGTGAGGGTACTTGTTTGCTTGTTCACTTTAAAAAAGGGGTCCAAGATGACCTCAAATTGAAAATTCACAGAAAGGGGATGGACCGCTGTCTTCTGAGAAACTTCTGGAGCAGGGTTAGGCTGGTCACATCTGCCGTTGTGGGGATTCTGCTCAGCAAGGTTTCACAGAACCTAATTCTCTGGCCCATCCACAGGGCTGGAGACTGACGTGTGAATGAGTCAGAAGGAACCTTGTAGACTTTAGGCTCCAATCCCAAGGACGAGTGGAAACTCATAGTGTTCGAATCTAAACATCAAACAACTGTTACTTCCTTTTCCTTTCCCCGAAAAGTAGTTAACAGAGTCTAGATTCTCCACATTAGCCACTGGGTACATTTAATTTGTGCCAAGTATGACTCTCCCCTGCCCCAAGCTGTGTTAGTGCGTGGCTGATAAGTTAAACCCTCAGCCTGTGATAGCTAGCAAACATGCTAGCCAGTCAAGCTGTCCTCACCATCCTGAGCGCTCAGCTTTCCAGGCAAGGCCTCCTGCTCCTGCCAGGTTTCCATCTCTCACCTCACGGCCCTCTCCGATCTTCCTGGAATTATCTCACTGGGGCAGTACATTTCTGCCCCTCCTTTACCTCCCAGTAAATGTTCCATTTCTTTGGAGAAATGTTTCCCGTCAGCCAAAAGCAAGCACAAATGTTCTCTATTCCGAATACTTGCTAATCCACACCACTCGGAATTGGACGGTAATTTGTATCTGCCCCCTACTAGCTACACCTCGTACCCTTCTACCTCGTCCCTGGTATTCATCTCAGCTGAGAGCTGTAAGTAGAGATTTTGATATTTTTTTTTTTTTAGGGAAGATGACTTTTGGGGGGTTTGTTTTGTCTTTTGACACAGTCTTGCTATGTGGTCTCGAACTTGTGGTCCTCTCTCTGTCTCCAAGTGCTGAGGCTACAGGTCTGCACCACCACAT